TCCCCCACCCCCGCGCAGCTGCGCGCCCCGCAGCCAAAGCAGCCATGGCGCCCCACGCCCTTCGTCTCGTGCAGCTCCTGCTGCTATTGGGCCTCATGGCAGCACCCGCGCTCTCGGCCACCATCCAGTGCGGCCAGTGCACGTGCTCCTCCTCGACTGCCCAAAAGCTGACCTGCGCCGACGGCAACAGCTGCGTCCCAGACTCCCCCTCGGACGGCGGCTCGTTCGACGTGAGACGGCAAAGACACGGCCACCCCCTGCGTCGCCGTCGTCGGGCGCACGCGTGCTGCTGTATGCGCGCGTGCGCGACCAGCCTGCTGCACCTGTGGGCCAGAGGCTTTTTCCCAGAGGCTTTTCGCCTGAGCGGCGGGTGCATGCGCGTGCAACCCCCTGTCCAGCGTTTGTCAGCAAGGTCATGGCCGCAGCACGCACTGGCCTCCTAGATACTCACGCTTCTCAGCTGGTCTCTTGTCCCCGCGCCCAAGGGGCCCCCTAGCGTCGCCTCAGTAAGCCCGGCTGGCGTTAATGGACCCCCCACCCAGATCAACATCGAATGCCGGGACGCAAACGGCGGCGTGTCGCGCTCCAGTGTCACGACCAGCAGCGTCCCGCCCGGCGGCGGCGCAGCCTCTGCGGTGCCCTCTGCAGTGTCAAGCGCGCCCGCCGCCCTCGGCCGCGGCGACGACAATAGCGGTGTGGGACAGCCGGCGTCGCCGGCGGCGCCGGCCGTGCGGAGCGGAGCGGGGGCGGTGCGGCTGGCTGTCGGGGGCGTGGCGGCTGCGGCGGCGCTGGGGTTGCTTCTGTGAGTGGACGCTGGCGAGTCACAAGAAATTCGTGTGTTTGTGGGCATGTCGGCTGGGGCTTATTCACCAACCGTGCAAGCGGCAAGTCTTAGGGGATCTGGACCAGCCAATGCTATGAATCAGTAGACCTACTTTACTCAGCTTCGAAGCAGCGGGCAGTGCCAGTCGCTTGCAGCATATGCATTGCGCGCAATCGTTTGCAGTCGAGTGGCTTTGAAGTTGCCATAACTTCAGATTGGGATTGGGATTGGGCTGGCAAGAAAATGTGTGGCATGTAATCACCCCCAGGTTTTGAAGGGGCTCTGGTGGCTGCCTGTCATTGCAGGCGCTAGAGGGGATCGATGAAGGCACACCACAGAGCGTGCGAAGCACTGCCACTTGTTAAGCAGCCGTGTTTCTAGACCCGTGATGCACAAGTGGTTGACGGCCTTAGTAAGCCGCTGCGCTGCCTGCCGGACAAAGGTACTACCTGTGTTGCCGTAGTGCGGCAAGCTTCATGCAAAGATACAATCTTGCAATCAAATCATGAATCGCCACGCAAAAGGAGAAATCATCAGCGTTGCGCGACCCGCAAGGCATGAAGCTGCCAAACCAAGGCCTGCAGGGTTGCGTCAAGAGTGTGTCAACTGCTGTGAAGCACGGCCAGCACCATCACACACCGCCGCATTGCACCGGCTGAACATGCTCTGCAGCCGAATGTGAAAGTGACATTGCTGATGGCCATGGTGAACAATTGGCACTTAGCGCCCCCGGCAATGAACCGGGCCAACAAACCTGACGGGACCCTAGCGTACACCCGCCCAACACAGGCGAGCATAAGTGCATGCAAGGCCGAGCCTGCTCAATGGCAGGGCCCCAGCCCCCAGCCGGCGGCCCGCTCAAGCGCCCTGTGATATACACGTGCTGCAGGCAACAACAGCCAAGTCAAAGATTATTGTTGAGTCATGTTCAGATATTTGAACATGTTTTTCTGTGGCCCCAGGACCCCCAGCTAGCTGTTCCCCCTGCCCGGCCCCGATAGCAGCTGTGGGGTGACTCGTGCGGTATGACGCCCACAGTGAAAGTCAACACTGCTCGATCACGATCAAAGCTCGGTCAAAGCTCGGTCAAAGCTCGGTCGAAGCTCGGTCAAAGCACGGTCAAAGCAGGTCAACGTGCACGTGCGCAGGGGAGGTCTTGAAGGAGTACACGTTCCCCGCGATGCGCTCCAGCCGCCGCGTGCGCTGCCCGGCGCGCCGCCCGTCCGCGATGATGCCTATGGGGGGGGGCGCGGAGGGCATGGCGGGTGTGAAGGTGCGCATGGGAAGCTGGTGCTTTGGTAGCCGTGTGTGAGAAGATGAGGGCCAGCCTGCGCGGTTCCAAATCGATGCGGTGTTTGAGCCGTTTGCAAGTTTGGCCATGGCCCCTTGAAGCACAGGCGCAGGTAGTCATGAACCTGAGGGTGTCCCGAAACAAATCAAACGCCTCCAAACCCAGCCGCACACATCCCAACAGTCCCCGCAAGCAGCACCATACAAACAGCCCCCGCAGCAGCCGTCTCTGCCAATCCGCCGCCCCCGCTCACTGTGCAGGTCCCAGAGCACGTCCCTGTTGAGTGCGTGGACGCTGTGGCGGTGGGCCGGCACGTTGGTGGCCAGGCATGTCAGGTCGACCACGTCGACATCCAGGGCAGGGCGGCCAGGGGGGGCCTCGATGCAGTAGATCCTGGGGGGGTTTTGGGAGGTGTTGGGAGGTTTTGTGATGTGTGTGTGTTTGTGTGTGTTTGTGTGTATATGTGCGTGCATGCGTGTGTGCGTGCGTGCGTATTTGCCTGCGTGCGTGTGTGCGTGTGGGAGGGGGCGGATAGTCCTCCAGGGTCCGTTGGAGTCAAGGCAACACACTCGATTGGACTTCGCGGAGGCTTTGCCAGGAAGGCATGATGTTTTAGTGCGATATCTAGAAAAAGCTGTGGTCGCCAGGTAATTTAGGTCCACCAGAGGTGAGCAGGTGAGAGACATTACTGTGACGTCACTGTAACATCACATTGAAATCTCACGCCCCACCTGCGCCCGAGGCTAAAGTAATTGTTGTCAGGCGGCCCCTGAGCCGCCCCCGCCGCCGCTGCCAGCCCCGCGTTCGCGCGCCCGTCTCCCCCCACCGCGACGGCCGCGGCCGTCCGCCCTCCGCCGCTGCCGCCGCCGCCGCCGCCGCGCGGCCGCCACATGCCGTGCGCCAGGCTGCCATCCCTAGAAGGCGGCGCGGCCTGCCGCCCGCCAGCGCGCCGCGGCCGAGATGCCCACCACTCCATCACTGGGGCCACAGGCGCCATCCGCGCCGCGCCGTCCGCCACGGCCGCCGCCGCTGCGGCCGCCGCGGCCGCGGCCGCCACGCGCCAGGCGCGGGCGGCGGAGAAAAAGCTGCCCTCTGACGCCTCTGGCCCGCCCGCGACTGCAGAAGCACCGCCTTCGGCTGCGCCGCCAGCTGCTGCCGAGACAGACACATCTTTCGCTGCATCGCCCTCGATTTGAATGCTGACGACGCCAGTCGGCCCCGCGGCGGCGGCCGCCGCGGGCGCCGAGCCCCCAG